GGGGGGGGGAGTGGACGGTTAGCGTCAGGAAGTGGTGCCACTTGTGGCAGTCTGTAGAGAAGTATTTTAAATAGGCGATTTACGACAATGACAACTGGGTCCTGCTGAATCGAACCAATTGTCTGGCACCCAGAGTTGCACTTCTTTCTGCTCGGCTATCCATTGGCTTTTCTAAAGGGATATAAGACTTTCCAGCCTGCTAGAATGAGCAAGGTCGCATTAGCAATAGTAAAAATGCACGCTCTTTGCACGCTCTTGCCGTCCACTGAATTGTGCATTGTACTCTCTCTAGATTTTGTTTAAGGGGGGTTGTAGGAAGAAAAAACTGCTGACATTTACCGGTCGTGGTACCGCACATCGGTTATCTACACTTAATCTAGCCCGCCTGTTAAGGGTGGTTGCCAGAGTGTGGCTGTTAAACAGAGTACAGTCCCTGAGGGTCAGACGCGGGGCAGTGTAGCCGTATCCATCTAGTCTAACGATGCCGTTGGTGGGACTGAAAATCCACTATCATGTAACCGGCACGAAAACACGTCCACGCACTTGTGTGGGGACCACGCCACTACACCATTTATCCGCGGCCCTCCCTTTCTTACACGTTCTCTTTCACTTTTGTTGTCTTAGGAAATAACTCTTAATATATTCTGTTATATTACTGTGTGCCACTTATGTAACCTCGAAAGGGTTACACACATATGCCTTCATTTCTCGACCCCTACTTGGTGCACCTTCTCGACCTTGTATCTGTCTTCATTGGTCACAGACAACCGCAGTCTTTCCCTGCGTCCAACTGGTTTCGCCCAGCACCGAGCTGACCGGAAACTTTGGTCAACAAGACTTTTACTTTGCCATCGGTCAGCACATGGCTCAAGAGCGCTCCACTGCGGTCTGTCAAGCTGTCGATAGCAAACTCACCTCTGAGTTGGCCAACTCCAAGATGCGCAGGTAAGCTTTTCTGTGTGACCTCATCCTCCTCTCTCTTCTACTCGTCTAGCATACTGGCTGATTATACGTTACACCTCACTGTAGTTGTCGCCTGCATTATTTTGTCGCCATAGCTATGGTATTCGTGCTGGGAGGAAAGGGAGAGAGATAGGAGATGATATAGGTGGACTCAGTTCAGTGTCAGTAAAAAAAGAAAAGATACATCCGAGAAAGATATTAGTATGTCACGTAGAAAACCGAAAATGTGATGCGAATTATATTGCAAACTACAAAATTTTAGTCTATAGCATAAACAATCTTATTCATGCCGCGCAAGCCCCAAACAATCTAATATTGTTTGGACTGTCCTACAGACTATAATAACACCTTAGGGATTGAGAGGAGCAAGATGCAAGCGCTGGGACAAAACTATCATTTGCCTGACGTGTCGAAATCTGCCGCGGATTCTTTATCACAGACAATAGCAGAAACGGGTAATTCATGCACAGGGAGTTGGAGTATTTATAGAATACAGTCACTATGATACTGCACACTTATGACAATTAACGATCCCCCTATCGGGGATAATTGCCCGCTTGTGCGCTAATTGCTTGATGATCGGCGTGCGGGCTCTGACCTGCTGAATTTTCATCCCACATTATGGAATTGGACGTGATGATTGCTCGGCCACCTGACACCCTGGCGCTGGCCTTAGACGACCTGTTGGCCTGCGCGTTCTCCAAATGGCGACCGGCTTTGGCCAAATTGAATTTCTTTAACTATCATAAGTGTGCAGTGTCATAGTGACTGTGCCCTGTGAATACTGCAACCCTCTGTAGATGAATAACCTGTTTCTGCTACTGTTTATGCTAACGTCTCTGATGAAGAATTCGCGACGGACATCGAAACGTCGGACGAATAAAAGTCTTGTCCCAGCGATCGCACCTTCTTCTTCTTCTTCTTCTTCTTCTTAATTACTTCCTGGGACTCACATGTTCGCTCGTATTGACCTTAAGGATTTTCGCCTAGAAGACTGTCAACTATGATGAGAGCTTTTTTGTCGGAACTCGGACCCAGTTTTACTAAACATGTGCTACTTCCCCATGCACACGTGCCAGCTTCACTATTCTTGGTTATACTGTAAACCAGACCTGCCATTAATGCTGCAGTAAGACGAATCAATTGTGGTCTGATCATAAGAGGACTCGATTATCCGGTTGGCCTTCTCATCCACGACTTGTAGTCCCGCAGCTTTCTATGTCAAGCAAGGTGTATGCTGGATTCCCCTTTGGTCAGCTTTTCCCTTCCCGTTCTCACTGTCCCAGGTTCTTGTCAAACCGGTTTGAGCTACCGATCGCATCCAGCGACTGATTAAATCTAGGGCCTGCGTCTAGTGTTTGTTATATACACACACAGCTTTTGGGCACCGGTTGGGGCCAAAGACAACAGCACAGTTCGCTTTAATGGTCTGCCTTCACTCTACCTCTATCTTCCTCACTAGTGCGCTCCACGTCAGATGCCGCGCACAAGTGCCACCTTAGGTAGTATTGACAAGTCTAATAGGGCACGACGGACGATACGTCATATGTGTGCGCGCAGTGCAAGATGTGGGTGCTACATCTTATTACAGTGCTTTTCGACGAGGTGAAGGCGTGCTTAGTCACGCAAGTGCCCTTTATTTTCTCACGCGAAGTCTTCCACGAACTCGCCGTCGCTTGTGCGTCTGTCGATGTTTCAGTTCCATTTTTTTGAGACCGACTTTTATCCGCTATCTTTTCATATAGACTGCTTTTGGAGTGCTCCGCATTTTTTGTGTCCTACTTACTCTCTCCTCTTTTTTTTCTATTTCTTCTTCTCACCCATAGACTTCTGTTGAGCCTCTGTGTGAACGTTTACAGTGGATCGATAATTATATGTAACTGGGACACTAGACCTCTTGCAAAGTTAACGAACCTTTCAAAGCCCCCTATCCTTAATGGGGCAGTTACGTCGACCTGATTCTGTATGTAAAAAAAAATTTCCAACACACAATCGCGCAAAATTGCTCTCATATGCAAAGCGACAGAACGCCTCGACAGCAGCATTTTCCGGTGTAAATGCTATTGCCTTTGTTGGCAGCAGTTGATGCCGTCGGATTCCTTAGGCAGACTTTCAGTGACATTGTTGATACACCTTACTTAGGAGCTTATCCTCTGACCACATAAGCATTTTCTGACTCAAGGTATCATTACTCGAATTTCAAATTCTCTCTGTTTTACTTCATCACGAATTCGTTATTAAGCAAAATGCTGAGACCCTTACCCCCTGTTAGCCGTGTCGCAGTTCTTTTATACAATGAATCACTGAAAGGTAAATTGTTATTTAAAAACCAAATACATCAATAACATACAGTCAAAATTATCGATTGACTTTAAGTGTACATAAAAAACATGATGGAGCTTAAGGAGAGAATGACAAATAATTTACTGAGTACTTTGCTAAGAATGGCATAACACGGCAACAGCAACCCTCAGCCAGCGTTGCCCATTGCGACCAGTTTGCTGACCATTCAACCGATGGACTTGGACACCGCTGCCATGATGTATAGATGACAGAAAAAAAACACTGACACCGA